TCTGTCATTGGAAAATTTATCCATAATGCTGTCCACAGTAATAGTAGTGTTAAGTAGCACTACGTTATAACTCTGTGAAGTGGGTTTGGATCCGAACCTTCCTTTCTACCTCTCCGAACCGCTCTCGCCCTATGCGATTCGCACTGTCACCTTTTAATGAAAAAATGACGCTCGTCGGCCGTCCTCGAGGGCGGTCCATCCCAGGGTATCGCGCCCGCCCCGCGCGGAGCGATATCTTTAGCACCGCAGAACAGCGAAAATAAATATTCTGGCCCGCGAAACATGGCAGGAACGCGGGACAAATTCGATTTCCGACACCCGACGAAGCGATGCAAGTATTTCCAAACTAATATGTTAGAACAAGAATTAAACCATAACGGCCTTTAGAACGAATCGTAATCGTCATACGAATTATGACCAATGTTGCAATACAACAATATTGATACCGGTCGTTTGGACTGAATCGTAGAAGGAATATCACACAAACGGTCAGCAATCGTACTGGTATAAAGTAGCACTGAGCTATACTTCTTAGAGAGGGGCTTGGATCCGAAGCTTCTTTTCTCCCTCTCCGAACCGTCGCCGCCCCATGCGGCTTCTATTGAAATCCTTATGAGAAAATGATTTGCGTCGGCCGTCCTGAGGAAAAGGTCCATCCCGGGGTATCGCACCCGCACCGTACGGAACGCTATGTTTTAGCACCTGGGAGTTTGCGGTATAAGTGTTTCTTAGTAGTACTCGACATATAAAGATAATGCCACCAGCGATAATATCAACCATAAGAACCCGCTGCCTTAGTAGATATTATGCGAATGTTTGGTAGACGGGGTCGTAGTAGTAGTGGCAATCGTAGCAGTAGTAGTAGTAGTAGTAGTAGTAGTAGTAGTAGTAGTAGTAGTAGTAGTAGTAGTAGTAGTAGTAGTAGTAGTAGTAGTAGTAGTAGTAGTAGTAGTAGTAGTAGTAGTAGTAGTAGTAGTAGTAGTAGTAGTAGTAGTAGTAGTAGTAGTAGTAGTAGTAGTAGTAGTAGTAGTAGTAGTAGTAGTAGTAGTAGTAGTAGTAGTAGTAGTAGTAGTAGTAGTAGTAGTAGTAGTAGTAGTAGTAGTAGTAGTAGTAGTAGTAGTAGTAGTAGTAGTAGTAGTAGTAGTAGTAGTAGTAGTAGTAGTAGTAGTAGTAGTAGTAGTAGTAGTAGTAGTAGTAGTAGTAGTAGTAGTAGTAGTAGTAGTAGTAGTAGTAGTAGTAGTAGTAGTAGTAGTAGTAGTAGTAGTAGTAGTCGTAGTGGTAGTAGTAGTAGTAGTAGTAGTAGTAGTAGTAGTAGTAGTAGTAGTAGTAGTAGTAGTAGTAGTAGTAGTAGTAGTAGTAGTAGTCGTAGTAGTAGTCGTAGTCGTAGTAGTAGTAGTAGTAGTAGTAGTAGTAGTAGTAGTAGTAGTAGTAGTAGTAGTAGTAGTAGTCGTAGTAGTAGTAGTAGTAGTAGTAGTAGTAGTAGTAGTAGTAGTAGTAGTAGTAGTAGTAGTCGTAGTAGTAGTAGTAGTAATCGTAGTAGTAGTAAGTAGTAGTAGTCGTAGTAGTAGTAGTAGTAGTAGTAGTAGTAGTAGTAGTAGTAGTAGTAGTAGTAGTAGTCGTAGTAGTGGTGGTAGAAGTAATCGTGATATTACTACTAGTAATCGCGGTAGCAGTCGTAGTAGTAGCAGTAGTAGTAGTAGTAGTAGTAGTAGTAGTAGTAGTAGTAGTAGTAGTAGTAGTATAGTAGTAGTAGTAGTAGTAGTAGTAGTAGTAGTAGTAGTAGTAGTAGTAGTAGTAGTAGTAGTAGTAGTAGTAGTAGTAGTAGTAGTAGTAGTAGTAGTAGTAGTAGTAGTAGTAGTAGTAGTAGTAGTAGTAGTAGTAGTAGTAGTAGTAGTAGTAGTAGTAGTAGTAGTAGTAGTAGTAGTAGTAGTAGTAGTAGTAGTAGTAGTAGTAGTAGTAGTAGTAGTCGTATTAGCAGTAGTTGTCGTCGTCGTAGGTGATAAGAGTAATACTAAGAGTAACACTGGCAATGGAAAATCTAATGATATATGCATTCGCTAGAACAGCCGCAATACTTAGAGGGGCGCCTGAAGCCTGTGATGACCGAGCTACGCCTGCGCTGGCGATCGGGCGGCCCACGCGCGGGCAGCTCAGCCCAAATCCGGCTGGCCACCGGTAAGGGCTCACTTCAGTTGCCAGACCACCATGGCAACTTTCCCATGGCGGACTACTGCAGACTTCCCCACGCGCGCCTCCGCACGCGCGCGCGGGCGCGGTCAAATGACCACGCGCGGGCGGGTCACCCGAAATCCGGTTGGTCACCGTTAACGGCGCACTTCAGTTCCCAGACCACCATGGCAGTTTTCTCGATTGTGGACAATAACAAATTCCCCGCGCGCGCGATCGGGTTACCCACGCGCGGGCGGGTCATCCGAAATCCGGCTGGTCGCCGTTTAAAGCCCACTTCAGTTTCCAGACCACCGTTTTAACTTGTTCATTGTGGAAATACAGAATTCCCTACGCGCACGTCCGCGCGCGCGCGCGCGATCGGGCGACCCACGCGCGGGCAGGTCACCCGAAATCCTGCTGTTAACCGCTAAGGGACCACTTCAGTTTCCAGACCAACGCGGCGAATTTTCCCGCGCGGACGCCTACAGGAAAAACTTCCGCACCGCGCGCGAGCGCGATCGGGTGAGCACGCGCGGGCGGGTCATCCGAAATCCGGTTGGTCGCCGTTCGTGGTTCACTGTAGTTTCCAAGCTAAGCCAACATGTCGACTTTTGCACCAAGAACAAATGCAGAATTTCCCGCGCGCGAGAGCGCAATCGGGTGACCCACGCGCGGGCGGGTCACCGAGATCCTTCTGGTCACCGTCGCGAGTTCACTTTAATTTCAAGGCCAACATGGAGAATTTTCCATTGTGGGCGCTACAGAACGCGCGCGATCGGGTGACCCACGAGCGGGCGGATCACCCAGAATCCGGTTGGTCACGGTTTAAAAATTGTTCGTTTCCATGCCGACATGGCGACTCCCATTATGGACACTAGAGAAATCCCAGCGCGCGCTTCCGCGCTGGCGCGCGAGCGCGATCGGGTGACCCGCGCGCGGGCGGGGCGCCCGACATCCGGTTGGTCATTGTTAAGGCTTCACTTCGGTTCCCAAGCCCCAAGCCAACATATCGACTTTTCCTCGTAGACACAACAGAACTCGCCACGCGCGCGCCCGCGCGGGCGCGATCGGGCGACCCGCGCGCGGGCGGGCCACCCGGGATCTGATTGGTCACCGTTGAGGGCTCACTTCAGTTACCCTGCCAACGTGGCGACTTTATCATTGTGGAGAAGAAAAAATTCCATGGGGTTCATAAACGGCTTGCAAAGTTCATGCGGTCCATCGGGCCCATGAGGGTCACCATGCTCAGACGACCCATGGGGGTCGCGTGGCTCATGGGGCTCATGAAGCTCATGGAGCTTATAAGGCTTATAAGGCACATGGGACTGATCGAGCTCATATGGGGGCATCAGGCTTAGGCGGCGCTCGAGTGAGAAACGCATTCCGCGGCGCTGAGGCGAGAGCCGCATTTCGAACGCGAGCTGCCGTTAATCCGTGAAACTGTTGCGCACTTTTTGAAACGAATGTGCGCGGCGCCAAGGCTGGAACAATATATTTAAAACGAGCCGCCCTCCATCCGCGAAGCTCTCGCGACGCCGCCGCAGAGAATGCACGCGGCAGTGGGGCGAGAACTAGTTTTTGAAAACGAGCCGCCCTCCATCCGCGAAGCTCTTCCAACGCGCCCAAAACGAATGCGCGCGGCGCTGAGGCGAGAGCCGCATTGCGGGGGCGAGCCGCCCTCCTTCCGCGGAGCTCTCGCAACATTTCCAGAGCGATCGCGCCCGGCGCTAGGGCGACTTGGGCATTTTGAAAACCAACCGCCATCAATCCGTGGAGCTCCTGCAGCGTTTTCAATGCGAGCACGCGCGGCGCTGACGCGAAAACGGCATTTTGAAAACGAGCAGATGTTCGAAGCGAATGCGCGCGGCGCTGAAGCGAGAACCACATATTGAAAACGAGCCGACCTCCATCCGCGAAGCTCCTGCAAACTTTAAAAAAGCGAACGCGCGCGGCGCTGAGGCGAGAGCAGAAATTTGAAAACGAGCCCCCCTCCACCTGCGAAACTCTTGCAGCATTGCAAAATCGAATGCGCGCGGCGCTCGAGCGAGAACGACATTTTGAAGACAAGTCGCCCTCCATCCGTGTAACTCTTGCAACGTTTTTGCATATGATGGGCTCGGCAATGAAGCGAGAGCAACGAGCCGCCCCCCACCTGTGAAGCTCCGACAAGTTGTCCAAAACGGATGCGCGCAACGCTCGAGCGAGAGCAACCGTCCGAAAACGAGCCGCCCTCCATCCGCGAAGCCCCTGCAAGATCGAGCATCGAGTGCGCGCGGCGCTGGGGCGAAAAAGGCGCGTTGAAAACGCGCCGCCCACCGCGCGCGAAGCACTTGCATCGCTTTTAAAACGAACGCGCGCGGCGCTCGAGCGAGTGCCGCATTTTCACAACGAGCCGCCCTCCACCCGCGAAGCTCCTGCAAGTTTTTGAAAAGAGTGCGCGCGGCGCTGAAGCGAGAACCACATCTAGAAAATATGTGCAAACGAGCCCCCCCGTCCGCGAAACCCTCGCGAGTTTGCAAATCGAGCCTGCGCTGCGCTGAGGCGAGAGCAACATTTTGAACAAAAGCCGCCCTCAATCCTTGAAGCTCTTGCAACGCTTTTACAGCGAATGCGCGCGGCGCTGAGGCGGCAACATCGAGCTGCCCTACATCCGCGACCCTTACAAAATGAGACGAATGTGCGCTCGGCTGAGGCCGGAACCACGAGCCGCCCTCCACCCGTGAAGCTCTTGTAAGTTGTCGAAGCGAATGCGCGCGGCGCTAGGGCGATAACCACATCATCCTTCCGGCGCGGGAATTGCGCCGGAAGGGGGGGGGTCTTAAATGCGCATTCGGATCATATATCGGATTGGCCCCCTCGGAGGCAGCAGTTCGCAGGGCCTGGAACGACGGAGCGCCTCTGGGATCGGGCTGCGCCCGAAGACAAACCAAGCTGTTACACACTGGCAAAAAGTCATTCACGATCGCAGGTCTTAGCGCCTGCTGGATCCTACGAGTCTCATTATGGCATCCGTTGTTCGAGCGCATGTACCCGACTGGCGTCTCTGGAGCCCGGGTGGAACGGAAACGCTGCGCGCCATCGCTGTCGGCAGTGGGGCAAAAAGGGTCTCGGCGAGGCCTGTTAGCGGGGCGTTCTCATTCGGCACTGGTGGAGGAGCGGGGGTAGGCGCGAGAGGGCGCAGGGCCGGGGGAACAAACGAGCGGGCGTGCAAAAGTGCGCGCACTCGTGCTCGGGTTTGTCTCATGCGGCGGCGTCGCAGGGTCACTCGCTCGTTGTCTCTCTGCAATCGTGTGGGCATGTGCCATCAGCGCAGCTGTTTTGATAAGGAAGGGGCAAGGGCCTCCACCCGAAGGGCGATCATGAGAAGCTCTCTGCGCAGTAGTCTCCCGCGGGGGAGGATCGTTCACGCTCCTATCGTCGGTCGTGGCCATCTGCGATGAGGTCGAGCCGATAGCTAGAGAGTCGGTAGTCGCTATCTGCACCGTAGGCGAACTCAGTGGGCAGCCCATGCCTTTGAAATATGTAGATGCACTCTGCGGCGTCGACAAACTCACGGTACGTGAGCGCTCCAAGACCAAAGAAACAGGAGGTGTAGGACGTGTCGAAATATGAGGAACGCTCAAACCCTCGTTCAAATTGGACGGAATCTGTACAAAGCTCCACCGTGCGCAGCTGTGCCGCGTGCAACATAGACGGCTGGTTGCATCCTTTAGCCCCTCGTCCCAACGTCCCTCTTCGTCAGCAGCGTGTAGTGGTAGCGCCCCATGTGCTTCACCAGTCCGAATACCAGCCTGCTTGTAGGTCGCGCCCGTCTGGTGAGGAACGTCGTGGATCACTGTGAGGGCTGCGTCGTTGTTCCTCTGTGCGCACAGCTGGGTCTTGAACTGCTTCCGTTCGTGCGTGTCGTTGTCTTCCGCCCGTGGGGCACGCTCGGTGGTGGTCTTGATGTCCGACCGCATTCGCTTGTCATGCTGTGTTTTGATACTCTGCTGGTTGGGATCTTTGACGGCCGCCCCTCCTTGTTGCAGTCCTCGAAGAGACCCGCGAGTGCGGTGGTGCCGATGGGGCTGGACATGGCCAGCTCGGAGTCGATCTGCGCCAATGATGGGGTGCTGTGGATATCCTTGTCTCGAAGTGCTCAGTCTCGTACACGTATCAGGATGTTTTCGGTCTGCCTCTGTCTCTTCGCAACGTGCAGTAGCAGCTTTATGGCGATGGGAATCAGGCGTTGCAAACCCTGCGAGTCCATCGCCATGAGCGGTGGGGAGTCCGTGCCGATATGTTTGTTGTCCCACGCTCCATTCAGCCGCTCTCTCCATGGCCCGTCTCCGCGTGGGTTCCGCAGCGCAGGCGCATTGTCTCGCCCCTCTGCGCTTGCCTGCACACCATCGGTGGATAGCGAATTCATCCAGGATAAGGGGACGGGGTGTAGGTAGGTGTGCGTCGGAGATATGAGCCTGGAGGTCAGGAAGGGTAGATAATGACAGCTCGCAACCCTCGCTCGGGCAAAACAGCTGCACAGAGTCGTTCGCATCGAAGTTGTAGAATGAACACTGTTTCTGGCATCGTCCCGATCGGTATGCGGCTGCTAGGTGGTTTGTCGCTGTCTGTCAGACGGAACATCCAAGGGTGCCCTCCCCAAGGTGCATAAAAACGTCCAACGAACACGAAAAAACGTAAGGGCACCCTCCCCGAATCGACCTCGATCTGATACCTCGGTCCGACTGTATCTCTTTGTCCCTAGGCCCCTCCCGCCGCCCCCGCCGCGCCATCGCGGGGCGGGCCACGACGACGACGACGACAACGACGAAGACGACGACGACGACGACCGCGACAACGACGACGACGACGACCGCGACGACGACGACCACGAACACGACGACAACGACGACGACGACAAACACGACGAACACAACGACGACGAAGACGATGACGACGACGGCGACGACGAACACGACGAACACAACGATGACGACGAAGACGACGACGACGACGACGACGACGACGACGACGGCGACGACGAACACGACGAACACAACGACGACGACAACGACGACTCGTTTTCGGGACCCTCCCGCCGCCCCCGCCGCGGGCGGCGCCAGCCGGGCGCGTTCGGCCAGCACGCCGCTCTCGGGCGCAGGGACCGCCTCCTGGGGGGAGGGGGAGCGGCCGCGCGCGGCTTCGGGCGCGGCGGGCCGCACGCCACCGCGCGGCCCGCCGCGCACGCGTGGGGACGTCGTCGTCGTCGTCGTCGTCGTCGTCGTCGTCGTCGTCGTCGTCGTCGTCGTCGTCGTCGTCGCCGTCGCCGTCGCCGTCGCCGTCGCCGTCGCCGTCGCCGTCGCCGTCGTCGTCGCTGGCGCGGCCCGCCGCGTCGCCGCCGTCGTCATCGTCGCTGTCACTGTCGCCGCCCCTTCGTCGTCGTCGTCGTCGCCGCCGCCGCCGCCGCGCTGGCGGGTTCACACCCCGAGGCCAAAAAAGCTGCCCCTCTCTTCGGGGGCATAACTTTACTTCCGCTGGCCTTCCACCAGCCTTCCCCGCCTCCGTTGGAGGAGGAGGAGGAGGAGGAGGAGGAGGAGGAGTGGGAGGAGGAGGAGGAGGAGGAGGAGGAGGAGGAGGAGGAAGGAGGGAGGAGGAGGAGGAGGGGCATCTGTTACTTCCGCTGGCCCCCGAATGTTACTCCCGCTGGCCCCCGCCATGGCCTTCCGCCGCCCTCCGCCGGCGGAGGCCGCCCACCAGCGGTGTACTTCCGCCGGCCTCCGCCGCCCCTGCGCCGAGGAGCACGTGGACAGCTCCTGCGATCCTCGAGGGCGAGGCCCCTTCCAGAATCCAGTCGGGCGCGTCCCCCTACAGGGGGACCTTCAAGGAAAAATGAAACATCACAAATACGCAGAAAAAATGCTCCAAAATGGCCAAAAAAAATTCAACAGTTAATAACAGTCCAAAAATAGTCGGGGGACTATGTTTGGAGCATCTGTTTTATCTATTTGGGATTTTTTGGAGGATATTTTTAACTTTTCGTTGAAAGTCCCCCTGTAGAGGGACAGGCCCCTTCCTGGAGCGCCTCGCGCGGCGGACCGCTGCCCGGCCCCTGGGTCGCCGAGCCGCCGCGCACGACACCCGGCCCGACGCCGACCAGGAGCTTCTCGCATGCTCGAGGCCACCCTCCTCCTCCTCCTCCTCCTCCTCCTCCTCCTCCTCCCCCTCCTTCTCCTCCTCCCCCTCCTTTTTCTCCTCCTCCTCCTCCTCCTCCTCCTCCTCCCCCTCCTCCTCCTCCCCCTCCTCCTCCTCCCCCTCCTCCACCTCCTCCTCCCCCTCCTCCTTCGAACAGGGCCCACAGGCCACGGCGGAGTCTTCTTGGCCATCGTGGGCCTCCCTCGGCGGGCCCCGGGACCGTCAGACGACCACTCGGGATGAGAAGCGCGTCCCCGGGGGGAAGCGGTCGAGCCCTGACTCCTGATCCGCCCTACTTTGGGCGATTTCGAAAGTAGGGCGGAAATTTCCGCCCTACTTTTGAGGCCCCTTTGAGCGTCGATTTCCGCCCTTGAGGCTCCTTTGGCGTCGATTTCCGACACAATTTTAGGTCGGAAAATCATCCAAAGTACGGCGGATCAGGAGCCAGGGAGGCCTCTGGGGGCCCTCGCCGGCGAGCGAGTCGCGGCGTCTGGCGTCTCAGCCGTTGGGCTGCGCGTGGGAGCGGCCCCTCGCGGGAGTGGCCCCTGCTGCGGGCCCACGGGGGCCCCTCCAGCACCGGCTGGGGCGCCTGGGCTTGGCCCCTCCAGGGGCCCCCCCGCAGGCGCGCGCCCGTGGCCGCGCCCGCCATGTGGCCCCTCGCCGGCCGCCGCCGAGAGAGCGCCCGCCGCCGAGCGCCGCCGGGGCGGGGCGCCGCCGCGGCGAGGGCGAGGGCTCCCGGGGGCAGCGTCAGGGGCCCCTGACTCCGGATCCGCCCTACTTTGGGGAAGTTCGTAAGCAGGGCACCCTTGGAACGCCCTCGACGAGGCGCAGCCGCTGAGCAGCATCCTGGGGTTGAAAAGCCTCCAGGAAGCGACGGAGAACGTCCGCAACCCTTCCGGGGACGGACGAAAACGTTAGCACGAGAACGCCAGGATGGAAGCAACAAAAGCCATCCCTGACTCCGGATCCGCCCTACTTTGGGGAAGTTCGTAAGCAGGGCGTGGAATTTCCGCCCTACTTTTTTCAGGCCCCGCGGATGCCAAGTTCTCCGCCCTAGACTGTTCTGCTGCTGTGTCCGCGCCCTGCTTCGGTGGATTTCCGCCCTACTTTATGTCGGGTGCAGAAATTTACTGTTCTGCTGCTGTTTCCGCCCTACTTCTGTGGATTTCCGCCCTGCTTTTTATGTTGGGTGCAGAAAGGTCCGCCCTACTTTTTCGGCTTCTCATATAGGTGGACTTCCGACGCCATCTTAGGTGGGAAAACAACCAAGAAGTAGGGCGGATCTGGAGTCAGGGGGGGGGGGGAGCGCCCGGAGGCCCGAGGCCCCAGGCGTCCGGGCGTTTGCCCCGCTCCTGGCCCCAAGGCGCGCCGGCCTCGAGGGGCGCCGTCGGGGCGCCGCGCCCCGCCGCGAGCGCCCCCCCCCCCCCGAAGCCGGGCACCGAGCGGGGGGTCGCCCCTGCCGCCTGACCCGGTGGGGGGCCGCTCGCCTGCGCGCTGCCGGCAAGACGCGCCCGCCGCGGGTCGCCGAGGACTCTTCGGGAGCAGCGCCAGGGAGAGAGGAGGGGGGGCCCCTGGCTGGCCATCGCTCGGACGTCCAGTCCCTGTGTTGTTTGTCGGTTTCGTGCGTGTTTTTTTTGTTCGCAGAATGATCCAGGATGCTCCTCGTCCTCGCCGAAGGAGACATGCACACGTCCGAGCGCTGCCGAGCTGGAGCAGCGGCCCGTCGGGCCTTCGGGCGCTCGCTCGTCGGTTCCACGGGGCTTGTCGAGGGTGAGGGGCTCGAGGTCTGGGGCATCCCAGACCCCCGACGTCATGATTTTTTCATGACGCGACCCCCAGGGGTCCAGACCCATTCCCCGGGACCGGTTTTTCGTCCCGAGTCGTTTTCTGACGGTCCCGAGGCCCGGTGAGGGCCCCCGGAGGCCGAAAATGGCGAAAAACCTCCCGTCGTGATTTTTTCACGACGCGAGGAGGTCTGGGTTTGGGGCCTCGAGGCTCGAGGTGTCCGAGCGGTGTCCTCGGCTCTCCGCGGCCTTCCGGCCCCCCGGGCCGCCTTCCGGCAGCCGCGCCCCGCGCCGAGAGGCGCGCCTCCGGGGGGGGGCCCCGGACCGTCCCGAGCGGCCTCCCGAGGCCCGAGGTATACACGCCGAGTCTCGAGCGGGAGCCGTTGTCATCGCGGCTGGGCGCTTACCAAGTCGAAGCAACTGCGAGGGCGTCGTCTCGGCTTGGTAAGCGCGTCTCGTCTCGACCAAGTCGAAGCAACTGCGAGGTATATACGCCCGACTTGGTAAGCGCCCAGCCGCGATGACAACGGTATATCCGAGGACCTCTGGCCTCGGATCCGCCGTGCTCTCGGTGGGTCTCCCGACTTGCAGCCGTGTCGGGAGTGCACCCCGGAGGGGTGCGAGAAGGCAGGGCGGAGGTGTCCGCCTCGGAGGAGCGGGGCGGACACCTCTGCCAAAGGTGTGCGGGAGGCAGCGGCGGCAAAGCAGGGCGCACATCGACATCAACGGAGCTTGAAAATAGGGGCGGGAAGTTCCGCCCTGTCTGCGAAATCGTCCAAAGTTCAGCGGATCCGAACTCGGGGCATGCGAGACGGCGATTCCCGATCTCCGGCGGCGTGACCTCTTCAGCCAGCGCTTCTCCCTCCTCGCCACCACGGCTGGACGCTCCTCGGAATGCTGGTCCGAGTGCCCCCCGGGGTGAGGTCTCGGGAGCAGCGGCATCGACATCCTTTCCTTCGGCTGCCACAGGGAGGGCCGGGGGGGGGGGGGGAATGCTGCCTCGGAGCTGGCGGGGGCTGAGTTGTCCAAGATCTCCGACGGTGTGATCCGTGCAGTCGCGGCGCCCCGGGGCCGCTTTCGGGCGCCGCGGACCCTCCAAGCAGCGGAGGCGGGGCGACAAGATGTCCCTGGGGAAGCGGTCGCGGCCAGATCGTTGGGATTTATCGAGCGAGGCGCTCGAATGTTGCACCTCTGACTCCTGTCCATGCAGAAACCCATGATCACTTCGATGTAAGGGGGAGGGTGGCCAACAGGACGGAGGAGGAAGGACGGAGGAGGAAAAGTGAGCAGGCAGGAGGAAGGAGGAAAGGGGGGGCGGTACGACGAGCAGTACGAGGAAAGAGAGGGGGGGGGGTCTGCTTACCGCCTGCCTGTCTGTGAGTTGTCGTCGTCGCTGTCCCTCATCGTAGCCGCCGTCGCCGTCGTCCTCGTCGTCCACTCGGACTCGCTCTCGCACCTGGACGCTCACGGCCAGACACTTACCACGAGACGTGCCAGGAAAGACTATGCACATCCGACACCCATGTGTATATCGCGTCCAATAGTTGTGTTCGTTGTTCTCGGCTTCTCTCATGCAATTATATATATGTATATATGTATATATATATATATATATATATATATATACACATACCCTAAACTACGTAGGGAGAGGGAGAGAGAGAGAGAGGGGGAGGGCGTGATAGAGAGAGAGAGAGAGAGAGAAAAAAAAGAAGAAGGAAACAACAAAAAAGCTAACCTGGCGAAAGACCAAACCATGCGCAATTGTTAATACCGCATTGTGGGGGGTTACCGTTTTCGGTGGAGCTCGATATGGGGCCACGAACTGCGTGAAGGGTGTGCCAGAATGGGTGGCTGTCCCCGCATGCGGACCCTGCCGCTGGGGCCTTCGGTGGCGCTCCCTGTTAGGCCACGAACCGTGTGAGGGGTGTGCCAAAATTGTGGCTGTCCCCGCATGCGGGCCCTGCCACTGGGGCATTAAGTTGAGCTCCCTGTGGGAAAATTGAAGGCGGCCCCCGCATGCGGACCCTGCCACTGGGGCCTTTGGTGGAGCGCCCCCTGTGGGGCCACAAACCGTGTGAAGGGTATGCCAACATGGGTGGCGGTCCTCGCATGCGGACCCTGCCACTGGGGCCTTCGGTGGAGCTCCCTGTGGGGCCACGAACCGTGTGAAGGGTGTGCCAAAATGGGTGGCG